GGAGGCACGTAGGAAGAAGTGAATCTGACCTAAAAATATGTGCCAAGCCTATTTATAGCCTCATTAAGTTTTAATCGTCGGTATTAGCACTAATAGCTACGCTAATCATTTTAATCTCAAACTTCATATTCTGAACCTAGCCATTTTTCTAGGATTTGTCATATTTTTATTATAATTTTTGCAGCACTTTGCAGGTAGGCCCTTTTACGTAGCCGGTATCAGTCCCGATGCCAGTTCTCATTATTTCGACTCCAAACTTGACATACCAGTCCTAAATATTATTCTAGGAATATTTATACACTCATTATAATTTTTCAGGATACTTCACCGGTACGCAATTATACCGAGAAGCAGAATCGGTATCTGCATTTTTCGTCAGAAAAATGACTTTCAACGTTATTAGACCCTTATATTAATTATTCAAATCTTCTCATATTTATTCTACGTCAATTATGGAATTTTCTCTTTAATCTCATATTTAATTTAATTAAATTCTTAAATTAACAGTGCGGGTTCTTACAATCGACAGAAAAGCTATTATGATAATAAGCCCAGACCGCTAGAATTTGAAGAAGGTGACCATGTCTTTGTGCAGTCATCTCCAGTTACGGGTGTTGGCCGTGCTTTGGGTGTGAGGAAGCTGAGTCCTCGATTTATTGGGCCGTATCAAATTATGAAATGAAAGGGACTAGTGGCCTATCAGCTTGCCTTGCCCCCACAGTTGTCAAATCTACACGATGTTTTTCATGTGTCGCAGTTGCGGCCTTATGTTCCGGATGAATCATATGTGGTGATACCAGATGATATTGAAATTCGGGAGAACTTGAAGACTCCCATCGGTCTTATGAAAATACTGGACCGCAGTGAAAAGAGGCTTAGAAGCAAATTCATTCCCATGTTAAAGATTCAGTGGGAAGGTCGTACGCCTGAGGAGGCTACTTGGGAACGGGAGGATGAGATTCTCCGGCTGTATCCTGAGTTAGCGGAAATGTATGACTTAATTTTGCGGACAAAATTTCAAAAAAGAGGGGTGAATATAACACCTCATATTTTTAAATGTATAATTATATGTGAAAATGTGGATTAAGGGATATGATTAGTGAAAATCCTGAAATTAGAGCAAAAATACGTAAAAAGGGTAAAATGGTAAAATACCAAACACGTAACCCTATGCAAGAAAAAATGAGTAGAAGACCTCAAATGGTAAAAATAATGCCGGAAATAGATTCAGGACGAAAAACGAGTGGATAGGCAAGTTTCGAAAAATTTGATAAATAGTGATTTTTCTGGTATAAAATACTGCGGTATAATTGTACCGATAAGCGCAAAAATATGATAAGTATTTTTTAAAATTAAAAATATGACGTGAACGAGAAAAATAAGTAGGTTATGAATTTGTGGGTTAAATCGGGTGATTTAAGAAAGTGAAATGACGTGTGGGACCCATTTAAGTGACTTAAGTGAATAAAGTGACTTGAAAATTAGATTTCTCACATTTTCTCTCTCCTCTCTTCTGCTCCCTCACGTGCTCTTCACCATGGAAATAGGGCAAGTGAGCTTCTCAAATTAAAATCTTGAGTTAGAGCCATTTTTGAGATAAACTCCCGACTACAAAGTTGTTCTCCTTGATCTTGTAAGTGACTTTCACGTAGAGTGCACCTTGTGGGGATCATTGTGTGAGGAGAAATTCTCCATACTCAGCCACGAAATTTGGAGCTTTTGGGGGGAATTTTAGTGATTTTTGGTTGATTCATTGGTTGGAGATCATCCCCTTGGACCCTAGGAAGCTATAGTGGTAAGTTTTCACACTCTCATTGAGATCATAAATTGGATGAGGGTTTTGATTATGTGTGTTGAGTTGTGATAGTTAGGAGCATTAAATGGTATACCTCCTTTGGAATTAAAAGCTTAGAATGATAAATGATGATGATTGATGCAATAAAAATTATGGTGATTTGAAAAATTGTAACTTAGGCAAATCATAAAAGTGATGGTTGAGAATTAATGGTTGGTTGTTGGTATGAATTAATTATAGGATTATGTGGTGTGTGTAAGTGTTAGATTGAATTAAAACCTTGGAGTGTAATGGCATGAAGAATTCGACCATATGAAAAGAAATAAGAAAAAATGATGTGAAAAGATGGTGAGATCGATGGTTTATGCTTTGTTGCATAAATGGTGAAAGTTAAGGATAATTTTCCTTTGTTTATGACATACAACATTTTTTCAATTACTCAAAAGTGTCCAGATTACTTTTCAGGTTTCACGAAACTAGAGATATGTATGTATTCTTTAAATGTTACATTAATTTGAAGATATAATTTTATGTGCACGTCTAAAATGGCAAAGAACATGAGAGCCACGGTAAATGGCAAAGTTTTTTTTTTTTTTTTTTTTTTTTGTATACAGGTAAATGGTAAATGGCAAAGTTAGCATCAAATAGATGCTTTTAGCTAGAATCCACATCAACATCCACAGAAGAAATTAGTATAGAGGTTAATTGGAAACAATCCATGTTGACAAATATTGTGAAATAGCATAATAGGCTTGAAGAGCATCTTTTAATGAGAAAATAAAAGAGTAATGTTTTATTAAAGTATCATATATTAAATTATTCAAAATATAATTACATCATTTTTTTTTCTTGATAAAAATATTAAAACATAGGATGAAAGAATTTTTTTTCATAGGTTTTATGACCCCATTGTGGCCGTTTTCAAAAGTATTTAACATTATTTATAACAAAATGACGTCCCAATTTGGAAAAACCGTACCATGTAGATCATCTGATGCGGTTGGTTGTGCCACTGTTTTTTAATACCCACGCATTGTGTCACGATAATAAATAAAGGAAAAAAGAATTCTTATGTTGTAGGAGAGCTCTTTTCTCATGTTAGTGAGAGTTCGTTTTGCGTACAATAATTTTTTTTGTTTTCTTTATTTTTTATGTGGGGACCCCACCATAAATTTGAGTGTGTAAGAGATTTCCTCCTCTCCAATAGCATGAGAAAAACATTGCCCATAAATAAATGTAGGAATGGACCAACCAACAATCACATAATCCAATATCAATGCACACACCATGCTGGTCATGCTCCGTAAAGAAACACCAACGAATAAGACTTTATTCTTTTTAAAATAATTTTTTTTTTCTTTTTAGAGTTACCCAACTCTAATTATCTCTTTGAGACGAGTTGGCTCCCTCCGGTATCCCCACGAGCTTCGACTCTTTGAGCCGGCTATGGGACTAATACGGAGTGCGGGGAAACAGTGATGGCTAAAGGTTCAACCCCCTCCCCAAGAATACATAAATTTATTTCTTATACATATATAAAAACTTAAATATAAAATTCATATAAATTTATATGAGAAAAAGAGAAAAAAAATTTAAATCAATATATTTTTATGTATTTATAGGACATAAAGTTTTCTCCTACAACATGAGAAATACTAAATATCAACAATATTAATAAAATTAAGAAATTAGTATTTTTATTATAAGATATAATTATATCTCTTTCACATATATAAAAATTTATAAGATTTATATTTTTTTTCACATAAGACTCACATACTTTTATGTAAATAAAAATAATTTGTTTTTTATAATACATATAAAAAATATTTTATCTCCTATATCATTCGCCTCTAAAACTAAATATTAGATATTTTGTAGAAGGAAATCAAATAGAGAAAGTGTTGGCTTCGAAAAAATCAATACCTTAGAAATCTTATCCATGAACCTCGTCAATATCAAGATGTGGACACACTAGCACACAGCTGTTAAGTCTGCAGCTGCTTCGTTTATAAGAAGTGGTTATAAAATAAATTTTTTCTTTTAATTCACACCGACTCACGTGGGCTGGCTTATCAACATAAAATAATATTTATATGAAAAAAGTATTTATATTTTTAAATGACATCATTTATATCATTTTATTTTTATAAAGAGATGTGATCCATATCTTTATTTTTATTTTTTTGTTCATTCTTTTTTTCTCCCATAATTTATCTCTCTTTTTTCACTTAAAATAATACAACCTTATCTCTTTTAAAATAATACGCAGTTTCCGTATTTATATATCACAATCTAAAGATTTTATGTAAAGCAATCATTCAATTTAAACGGTTTAAGTTTGTAAGCAATGATTTTTTAATATGAGAAGCGAAGGATTGATAAAATTTCACGAATACTTATAGAAGCTTTTCCTGGGGAAAGAATATGGGACTTGTATTTATAAGGGGAGATGTTGAAGAATCCAAAGGTGAATGAGTGACTGAAAAAGTCACATATTGGTTAAAAATAGATTAAATGAACATATAAGTGGAATGATCTATGTACCTAATACATTAAGATTTTGAATTTTATTGAAATGTTTCTAACTCAGTTAATATAGTTGCTCACTTAGCAATATATCTGATATCAACATCTATCTCTAATACATTTCTTCCGGAATTTGTAACCCGATGATCACGATTATCTGATATCACGTATAGCTAGTTTTTGTGTTGGTTTAAATTTCAATTCTCTAATCAAATTCTGTTATAATAGAATATAGGTATAAATTCTGTTGTATCACCTATAATCAAATTCTCTTATCCTCAAAGAGATTGTGGTTTGTCCCTAAACTGATGGGATATCGACATCTAATACTACTTTTTTTTTTTTTTTATATACAAAAATACAAGTATAAATAATAGTATGGGTGATGAGAAAGTATCAAAATTACACGAAAACACTTCTCCCTCTAGTTAATTTCCTCTCCTTCAATATTTTCTTTGTTTCAATAATCACCTCTAGTGAACTTTTCCCTAATCACCTATGAAACAAATAATAGTATGCAACATTAGCGTTCAATGTTTTAATAGCCAAAAGAAAAACAAAATTACATTTGCTCATCATCACCTAAACTAAACTAAATAATATTTCGAGCCCTTATTTGATTAAATATTAATTGTTGCTTCATATATAAGGCTGCCTCCTGTAATCAGATATTCACTCATAGGTGATACAACTCCATTGCTAATCTTGGCTTTGCAACTGCCACAAGTGACTCAGCAAGAAGTGTACCATCCTTGGACTCCGCAAGATTGATGCTTGATACATTGGGAGGTGCACTCCAAGTGAAGCCATGGATCAACCTAGCAAATAACATTATAGTCATTGTGGTGCCAAGCGTCACTCCAGGACAACTACGCCTTCCTGTGCTGAATGTTATGAACTTCAAATTTGGCTGTGACAAAACTACATCAGAGCCATCACTCTTGAGATGGCGTTCTGGTTTGAACTTGTGGGGCTCATTCCAAACTTTTGGGTTTCTCCCAAGACCTCTTCTGCTTAGCAATATATGACTACCTTTTGGAATCAAGTAATTGGCAACCATTGTGTCATTCATACAGGCATGGGGAACACTGAAAGGTACAATGGGATGAAGGCGAAAAGCTTCTCTTGCGCAAGCCTTCACATAGTTGAGTTTAGGAATATCTGATTCCTGGACCAGTCTATGTTTTCCAACCACATTGTCCAATTCCTCCGTAGCTCGTTGAAGCAACTCAGGCTGATTTATCATTTCTGCTAAAGCCCATTCAATTGCATTTGATGGATTATCCACCACTGCCATCATCAATTCCTACAAGAAATTTGATTAAGTATAGTAATTAAATATATATATTGTGATAAAATCACTTTATACCGGTGTAAGTTATATTTTCAATATTGGTTATTGGTCCAATTTATTTCTAATTGTTTTTATATATTAGATATGGGTTCGCTTTTTCTGCAGTTACTGCAGATAAGTTATCTGCAGTAAGTCCAATACGACGTCGTTTTGGGTTATCTGCAATAAGTTCAATATGACGTCGTTTTGGGACAGAAATCATGGTGTTTTTGTAATTTTAATTTATTCTAGGGTTATAATAATCTTTATATTTATAATTTTTTAAGATTTCAATACCAAAACGACGTTGTTTTGAGAATAAATGCAAATAACTTATCTGCATTAACTCCAGAAATATTTTTCTCATTAGATATATAAATCGTTAGATGCAAACAAATCAATTATTAAGTTTTGATGTAAAAGATTTTATTCTTATACACCAGTTTAAAAATAACATACCCCGTATAAATATAAATAATAGGAAAAGGATTAACGAGTCTTACGTCAAATTTTAACTATTCACATCTACTAGCATTTAACAACTCTAATTTAAGATGCAAGTGAAATCAAAAACTACGATTGAGAGTGTAAAATATATGTATGTCTATGTATATCTTGGAAAGTAGAAAAGTGCTCATGCATGTGACAGAGAAATGAAAAGAAAGAAGTGATGTATTACTATAATTTGAGCCTTGATTTGCTTCGATGTCAACAATGGGTCTTTCAATGAGATCATAACATCCAGCAAGTCCTCTTCATCGGTCTTTGATCCATCATTCCATTGTTTGATTCTCTCTTCAATGATGGGATCATGATACTTGTTCATGATTCTCATAGCCTTCTTTAGTTTGCTCTGATGGCCATCCAAGTCAAGTGCACTCAACCATGAGATATAATCAGAAATAGAAAAGGCATAAATGTATTTAAGCAACATGAAAATGGCATCTACATGTTCTGCTTCCTCAAAACCAGGTCCTCCATTCTTCCTACCCTTTCCGAAGTACCTTGCATTAAAAATCATTTTCCTGATCACATTACCACAGTAATGTTGTGCGACATCCCTCACATTCACAAGGCCACGATCATTCACATTTTTGCACTTGTTGTAGATGTAGAACATAAGGTTATCTGCTTCTTCAGTCCTTTTGTCTTGAAGCCATTGATGCTTCATGGGGGAGAACAAATGGTTGGCAACCATTTTCTTCATTTTCTTCCATTGTTCCCCATAGGGTACAAGAGCTGTAGTCACATAACCACTAGAGACAATATGAGTAGACATGCTTATTGGTCTTGATGCAAAATCTGCATCATGTTTTCTCAAGAATTCACATGCAATGGTGGGGCTAGTGATTGTGATTACATGGGCATTTCCTAAGCGGATACATGCAATTTCAGTGTTCATTTCTTGCATCAACTTTTGTATCCACCGAAATGCAGGCTTGTTTGCTAGCATTTCAGGAAGATTACCAACTATAGGCCATGGTTTGGGACCTGGTGGGAGCTTGGGTTTCTTGGGCTTCTGAATTAAGGGAAATCTTAAGGCTTTGGTAATGGTAAAGACAGAAATGATCATAATAAGCAAAGAAATCCAAAAGGATTGAAGGTGAAACCAAAAAAAACGAGGGTCGTAACCCATTGCATGGAAAAGGATTTTCAAACAAAAATGATGAGATGAGTTCAAGAACAGAATGCATTAAGTAAGGGACTATGGTCAATTTGAGAAAATGGAAGTCAATTTATAGGAGCTAAACCAAAAGGCAAGAGTTGCAGTACTCTATTGGTCTCAAATCCTCCGTATCCAAAAATACATAGGTTAAGTGTCAACTTGATTTCAATAATGTAACAAACAAACAAACAAACAAAAAATTGACCGACAAAAAAGTAACTTTCAGTTTATATTATTTTCATGGACATTTAATTTGAGTTATTTTAAAATGTTAAAATGGTATTATTAATAAAAAGTTAAATATTTTATAGTTATTAATTCTAATAAAAAAATATAATTTACTAAAAAATTAAATCAATAACCACTAATATTTTTCAAAAAAAATATTCTATGCATATGAATAATCTCCTTTAAGAAGTAACAGAATTATATTTCTTTTATGTGATAAAAATCTTCATCCCATTTCCCATAATGAGCCCAGTTAAAAGCTTAAGCGGCTTTCAGAAGTAACAATACCATGGTTTTTATTGGCACCATTCAAAAAAAGGGCCCAGTTGAAAGAATAAGGGGCATCCAGAAGTTAAAACGTTTTAAAGGCACCAGAAATACAGATAGCTAGTAGTTCAGTTGGGATATGGGAACTGGGCACGTGAGATGAGAATATATATTTAATCATTCTCATTATTATTTTTGAAAGAAATTTAAAAGTTTAATACTAAATCGGCCCCGCACAAAATTATCTTCTAAGAAAAATATCTGTAATTTATCTATAAAAAGAAATTACAAAGAGCCCACACAAAAGCATGGGGAAACAGGGAATTCTGCTCAACCACAAACTTCAAGCTGCGTGTGTGTCTCTGAGCGACATATCTTTCTTAACACCACTTCCTTGATGCCACTTCAGCTTGTTTCCAAGAGACCCTATTTTCCAAGTGAATTTTGCAAACATATTATGCATATTTTTTTCATATCTACTCTACGAGTCTATGTACTCCTTTCTAACATCATTAGATGATATTTTGATCTAAATATGTTGGAAACGAACAGATAAAATAAGTATAAAAAAGGATAATCATGAATTTTTTTTTGCATAATATCCTATCTCTTTATTAAAATGAGTTCATCTTTAAAATAAATAGATATGGCTGAATCTGACACATTCTCTCTCGGCCTAATGTTTGTTTGACGAAAAAATAATTGAAAGAAGTGTGTGTCATTTTAAAGGATGTAAAATTATGTCATTTTAAGAAAGAGAAAGAGATAGATAAAGAAAGAGAGAGTTGACAAAAAAATAAAAATGTGGATCCAATCTCTTTGTAAGAGTGAAATAATATAAATTGTGTCATTTAAAAAGATAAACATTTTCATCAAAATAATTTACCACAAACAATGTTATCAGCGTGGCCCACTATTGTAAACCCAATTTTTGAATATTATTTTGTCTAATCAAAACCAATGTCTCCTTCATTTTATTTTTCACATTGTTGGCGTGGGGCAAATCTTGTAAGCCCAATCACCCTCTTCGTCGAATCCAAACCAAATCTCTGTTATACATTTTAAAAAAATTACTTTCGAATTTTTTTATCTATTTTTGGAGTTTTAAAAGATAAAGTAATAAAAATTTTGATTAAAAATTTTAAAACATAAATAATTTAAATAATAAAATATAAATAAACAAGAAATGAACAAACTCACCACAATTGTTCTATGGGTGTACTAAAAAATAGAGGTGGCAAAATATATCAGAGGACTCGGTTAGTGTCGTGTTAACGTTTGACCCGTCAGTTAAATCTTTGTTAATTGATATTTTGTTACACTTATTTGTTACTCTTAATTAGTATTTTTAAGATTATTTGGACATAAATAATGATCTTTTGAGATAAATTGGATTTTTTGGCTTTTTATTGGGTTTTATTTATTTCCGTACTTAATTTCTAGCTTTATGTTATTGCAGTATTTTGATTATATCTCATTCCATATGTGTCTGATCGACCCTATTCTTATTGCGTTTTGCAGCTAATTTAAAGGGCTACAAATATTATACAGACATAAATGGCCAGTTCAGACAATATGATGGTTGAAGTTAGAGCCCAAGTTCGTCACGAGTTGTTGCAGTTTTAATTAGTTAATCAGATTTAAGTTTGTGATTGGAAACCTAATATCTATGAGGCCCAAATCCATTATTTATCTTTTATTTTCTTTTTATACTAGGAAGGTTTTGTAGAGCCTATATAAAGGCATGATTACGAGACCTTGTTAGTCAGTTTTAGTTTTCGTTAAATTGTCTCAGTTTGTGTTTTTTTTATAGTTTAGAGGTTAATAGAGTTTTCTTTTCTTTTCTATTTTGTTCTTCTTCATTTTTCCTTCTTTTTATTATGGTTTTCTACTTAGCCATGTTAGGCTAAGTGTCCTTTAATCAATCCAAGAATTAAGGATTCTGTGACTGAATCCAGAGGACATGTATTTTCCTGATCCAAATCATTTGTCTTCCCTTAACTCTGATTCGAGTTTTGCAATTGCACCAAAGGTAAGTGATTAAACGTTAGATTTAATGTTTAGGTTGATTAACCTGATGATCTTAAGTCAAACGAGCTGATACTTCGCGATTGTGCGAGTAGATGCGCCGTATTGACCAAATGCTAGGCGATCGTCTAGAGAGGAGTTCCTAAGAAATTGAAGGGATTCCAAATTGCTTAGCGTCAGCCAAGATTTGGTAATTATTTGTCTAATGATGGATGTAACACCCCGTATATATCCGGTAATGTTATCATACTATCGTATTAAGCAACGCTTAATTAAAAATGCGGAATATCTTTTTCTTTTCAATTATGATGTCATTATCATTACCAACTTGCTTATTAATCAATTAATAAAACATCGCCTGTATGTAATTGCAATAAAGCAGCTAACTGAAATACCTCATAACATAGATAATAAAAGTGTGGCTCTAGTCACGAAACTACAACAACGTAGACCGGACCATCAAACAATTTATACAACTCCAATCTAAAGTACTAACATAAAGTGTCATGGACAATCCCCATGCTCACTCAAATAAGGCAACACGCCCAACACCAGTCTCTACAACAACATAAACAAAAATAGCGGAAAACATAAACAACATCTATATCCAGTCATGGCAGCAATACAGCATAATATCATCAACTAAGCTCTGGCCTCCTGCCACCAGAGGCATCAGTCACCAAACTACTGAAACCTGAAATAAGCATTCTCCAAACGTGGGATGAGATCTCTAAACAAGAAATCTCAGTAAGGCAAGGGGTCCTCAAGGATCTTCAACCCCAAGCTCACTTACATGTGTAATATAAGTTTAAAAGCAGTTCATCAATATCATTTCTAAAACAGTGCAATGCAGCAGATAATCATGTCATGTGTGCCAATATTATTCTACTGGCCAGAGAAATGCAGGATTTACATACACCAAATACCCACACTAGTGCAAGGCGCTACTTGCATCCACCCCGGATCACCGTCTTGTATGACGCTACATAACCGTCAAGATGGAACAACACATGCATATTAAAAGCCATTACACATAAAGCTCCACAGCATTTCAAATATTCAAAGCATGTAACACAGCATGCATAAAACCACACCCCCATGGGACATGGTGGAACCATAACATGGCTAAACCGAGGACACGAAAGCTTACCTTGCAAGCTAACACCCAAAGCCAAGAGTCCACAGCTCAACGTCCAAACACAGCAGATTCACAATCTGTTATGGACCAATACTATATCAATAATAATGCACCACAAGCATATCAATTTAAGACAACACCTTTTATTACGCTTTACGTCTTAAGGCTTCTTACCAAGCCATAAGCCCTTAATCACTTAGATTCTGACTTAGATAATTAATTACAGAAGTTCAACTTCATCACACTAGGGTCCACAAACCCAAACATCAGTTCTGGATGAACAGTACGCTACTGTTCATCGCAAACCCATAATATACGGATATTCCTCGGGACCATATCCGGATATACAATATACGGATATCCAGAATCTCATATTCGGATATCTAATATCTGGATGCCTAAAACCCATATCCGGATATCACATATTCGGATAGCATATCCGGATATCCAATATCCGGATATTTCACGGGCACATATCCGGATATTTCACGACAGAATGCTGAAAATGCATTTCGTGAAGATATCCTTCCAAGGTTCCATTTTTAACACTTAATTATGTTAAAGCATGCATCTTTATACTGATTAAGGTCCACACCCCAGTTGGTTACTTGATTAACTCATTAAACATGCAAAGATCACACCTTTAACCCATTAAAACACAAGCTCAAGGTAGGTACAACTCTCCAAAGCTCAAAACAGAGGATCGATGGCTCTTGGAGCTCACCACTCTGCCTCTACAGGTTCTGGAAATAAGGTGTACGAAAATGCAACACCAAAGGTTGGTCCTTTCTTCACAAAAAAGCTTCTTTAAGCTCCAAAATGCCACCACAATGGCTCAACACTCTCAACCCCCAAATTCAGCAACCAAGGACCCTCCCAACAGAGGTAAAAACCCAGAATGATGCTCCCAACACACTCACCATAGTGTTTCCCACTCACTCAAGGTGTCTACAAGAAGAAAGTGTGAAGAAAATGGCTTCAAACCTCAAGAAAGGAGAAGAGAAGCCTATGGAACAGTGTTTCAAGGTTCTGGTCAGCCACTCTCACGCACAAAAACTGAAGTCCTAGGGTTATGTGCCAATCATAAGGCTATATATAGTGGTTTAACAATTAAACACACAGTATTAACTTTAATGGCTACGCTTAGCATTTTAATCCCAAACTCTGGATTCTTAACCTACTCAATTTTACAAGAATTATCATATTTTTCTTATAATTTTCGGAGCACCTTTCTGGTACGCGCTTTTCAAAGCCAGTACCGGTTTCTAGCACAAGTTCTCATTATTTGGACTTGGAAACTCGTTTTACA